TTTGCTTAGAAACATACTCTGGTACTGCAAATTGCCAAGTAATACAAGTTTTGAAGCTGCACTTAAAGAATAAGCTAATCCCATTGAAGCAAATCTAAAGAAAGCCTGAAATCCATATGTAAAAATCAAAGAATTTCTATATGTTTTATTCAAGGAAGTTAAGAACTTACATATCATCCATGAACTTTGCAGCAACCATGACACTGGTAATAAGCAGGCGATGAACGTTGAAAGAATTGATGGGCAACGAGGTTTGCCTTTGAGCAAACCGATCAAGATAAACATATGCAACAATAAAGCAAGACGGGCTACAATTTGCATACTTGTAAATTCTGTCCAGGTAGTTTTGAATTGAGATAGTAGGCCGAGTTAGGCCATGAAACACCGAAATCTTCTGAGGCTGAAACTGACCGTTTACATCGTTGGATTCTGCCACTTTTTGGAGAAGAGAAGACAGAAACGTTATGAGATTTGGCATCACATTTGGGTTCTCTAACTCTGCCATAGCTGAGAGCAAAAGAAGTTGTTGAATGTGCTCTTTTGCTGCTCCTATTGAGGTACATATGGTTTTACTTTGTGTTACAAAACAGAAACAGGCATGGTGGTCGTTAAAGGGTAGGTATTTTCAATGGACAGACTTAGGCTCAGGAATTTGAATTATGACTCGGATGTCCCCCACTTGGTGGGGTTAATAAGGCCTTTTCTTTGACGCAAAAGTTTGGGGATTTCGAGTTAGGGGGTTATGATTATTAAATTTCAAAACTTGACTTGTGCAAGAGGGAACAAATGGCAAAAGGTGGTTCATTCTTCAGATTAAAGTCCTTCTCCTGAAAGGAGATTTAGGTTTTCCGGTGATTAACTTGTGGCTACTGTTGCTGTGCTGATGGCATGCCATACCCATCATGTGATTACATGTGGGAAAATGTTGATTATAATTTGTGGGCCCTACTTTCTGGAGATCGTTGCATGTGTTGTAAATCTACACGGTGTTTGGATTTGTTATGTTTTCTCGGATGATGGGTAACATGCAATTTGCTCTGTTGGTCCATAGCCATTGCCGCATAGCATATGCTGCTGCTCTGTTTTCCCCTATAACAGATGACAGAAACTTACAGATTTTTAAGGTGTTGGGCTGCGTCCAAGTTCAGGTCAAGATTCCGGGGTTGCATTCAAGATATGTTTGGCAACTACTAGATGAGGGATCTTATCTTGCATGAGTATTGTCTACAAACTCAACAAAGAAACAGGAATTCTGAACCTGCAAGTACCACGGGTCTGCTTGTGTTTGATTTCGGAATGATCATCATCTCGTCTGATGAGTCAAATGCATCATAATTCTTTGTTTCACAGATCAAAATACTGTAGTAGGTGATCATAATCAAAGCACTGAAACTTGCAAATTGGAATTCAGTTTTTAATTCTGATTTTGACCCACTTCCAACCCAATTGACACCAAGTGTTTTACTTCAAGTTCTCCACTTCTGCAGCTCTTACTCAAGAAGATCATAATTGTTTTTTTGTTTGTGGAGGCCAACTCATAGAGAGGATATTTTACTGGCATATCCTAAAGCTATCTTGTTATACTTTTAACAAGCAGAGGAGAATATAGAACAGATATTAACATGGTTTTGAAAAAGAACAGAGAGAAGACTTAGACCTTAAAGCAATATGTCACTTGCATGGACCCTGTCTAACTTCTTCCAGGATATATCTGCAGTTTATCCCTTTTAACTTGTCCTTTACCCCCACCTCTCATCAACCATCAAGCTGCAGATATCAAAATAATTTTACCCCAGATCCACCTGGGCACTTTCAATCTACAACTAACTAAGTACTTCCATAGTTTTTTGGATTATGTCTTTAGGTACATGCATAACCCCATAGTAAGGCAAAAACTCCAATTCAAAATAGAAGGATTTACACCTGAATTTTACCTTATCAGTTAACTTCAATATTCTTTACTGTGAAATAAGTACTATTTTACATCCATTTCAAAAGTGATGGGTTTCAATCAACTTTATCATGATGATCAACTATGCAGATTAACTTTGGGAGAAAACAAGAAATTGAAAATTTGTCAGTTAGAAAGGTCACTGCCAAGCTGGAAGCATGTCTTTTCTTGGAGTGAAGCAAGAGCAAAGGATGTCTTGTTTAAGGGAAATTTACAAACTGTGATGAAATTCTTGGTTTTGCATGGGGATTAAAAGTCGAAAGCATTGTCTGTTTGCAGGTGCCTCCCCAACCCCATGTGCTGTCCATGTGAGCCCTCTTCTCATGACCTATTGCGACCCACATAATTTGCCACCACGAAAAATAAAAATAAATCCAAAAAGAAGAAGAAGAAAATAAGGCCAGCCCGCATGTTATTTTCCTTAATGCATGGTAGTGGGCCTCCCGTAGCCTTGAGAATGTGACCCTTCGTTCAGAATAAGGCATTGACAAGCCAAGACTCTGGATAATCGATATCAACAAAATGAAAATCGTCCTGCAAGGTTTTTTTTATCACTCGTGGAGCACATGCCATTGGGTCCTGCCGCATTTTCTTTTATGTTTTGTTTTGGTTGTCTTCAGGAAAATATTATTACCACCCACGGGGCTGCTTTTGTTTTATAGGGGTAGCCGATGATGCAAAGAAAAAGGAAGATGTTGAACCATGTGGTGTCGATGAGAGCAAATGAGATAATAGTTCCTGTCCAAGAGAAAGCACAGGTGATGGGTATTGGATGGTTGTATATTTCAATCTGATAAACAAATATATCGTACGCAAATGGACAGGTTTTGAAGCAAGGAAATCATGCTTTTCCCTGGAAGGTTTCATTGTCAAAAACGTTCTTGCAATCATTAATCTGGAAATCCTGAAACAAATTATGATTGGTAAATGACGTGAAAATAATGCATTGAATATAGGTTCAATCAGCTTTTCATCAGTTAATATGTGTAGAATTTCAATCTGATTCATGTCTGGATTTTCAAGTCATGAGCTTGTTAAACTATCCATATTCCTTTCACAAATGGGAGGAAATTCTGCCACTTGAGCAGCTACATAAGCTTGAATTTGAAAATTCATACATCCGTAACGGGAAGATGTAGAAAAGGGCTCCAGCCAGACCTTGGACTATGTGGGTCTTTCCTCTGCCAAGTGAAGCTTCCTCTGCCGAAATGCATGGAGAGATACCTTCCTTGCTGACATCAGTGGATATCCCTCGCTCATGACTTCCATAGATAGATAGAAACTTTCCCTGCACCTAAGATTTAAACATCGAGCATCCCTCTACAAAAAGGCAATAGGCATATCACACAGTGCCCTGCAGTTGGTTGATAAGCACCTCAGAATCATCATCCTGATTCTCGTCACTGGAACTATAACTGCTTTTTCTATCTTTGTCCATTGGCAATTCACTTTCACTGAGCGCTTCTTCAGATAAGCCAATGAGAGATGCATAAGCTTCATTTTTGAGACATCCTGATTGCCTTAACAATCCCACAAAAACCTCCCTACTTGCCATGTCTGCCTTTTCCTCACAGAGATTAAAGAAGGCAGAGACACTGGTGGGTTTTGGCCTCCAACCCTTTGAGCCCTCAGTTGCAAAAGCTTCCTTCAAGCAAGACAATGCCTCGGGAATTCTCTTCTCTAGGATATGCCCTTCAGCAAGAATCTCCCATGAGCTTGAATTTGGTTTTCCTCCCACTTCAGCTATGTGACTGAATAAGCTCTCAGCTTTATCCAAATTTCCCTCTTTAACATACCACCCCATGAGAAGATTTGCTATTCTAGGGTCATAAGATGTTTTAACAGTCAGCCATTCCTCATAAATACTTTCTGCCCCTTGAATATCACCAGCCCGAACCAAAGATGAGATCATGGCATGAAAACCCAAATTTGGAATACTGGGGAAAATAGATTTGTAAACCCTCCATACCCGATACACCTCCTCTCTGTTACCAACACTACCATAAAGACTAATTAGATAGTGATAAGGTATACGATCCCGACCAGTGATCCTACTCTCCACATTTCTCAAGCATTCTTCAGCTTTTTCAGTCAGTCCCATCTTGATGTACATCGTTGCCATTGTGCTAAATGTTGTCCAGTTCGGGTTGATGCTTTGATCTTGTTTCATCTGCTCATATACTTCTTCCATCTTTTCGACAGATCCTTGGGATCCACAAGATGACAACCAGATGTTGTAGGAATATATATCCAGGCGTATGTTTTTTTCCATCATTTCTGAAACCATGGACTCAACTTTATCATACTCCTTGAGGTTCATATAGAGGGTCATCATCACATTGAATGGAAGGGGATGCAAGGCATAACCTTTACCCCTCATGTTGTCAATTAATGTTTCTGCCTTATCTCGCATTTTAGCCCGCACATAGGCATTCAGAAGAGCCCCATATATCCTCTTGTCCTTCATAGTATCCGGCAGTTGAACGAAGAAATCTTCAGCACTTGAAACTCCGCGCACCTTAGCAATAAGGTCTAACTGAATTGCAGCATCACTAGCAGACAATCTAAACCTCTCTTCTCTGTTGTTCATCCAATCATACACCTGCACAATGTTGGAAAAGTTAAAAAAATGCCTGATGCAAGAATGTCAATTACTTTACTGAACAAACTGTGTGCCATTTTGTGCTCTTTTTAGGAGTAGTCGATTACAATCGTTCTAACTCCCAGCATCCAGAAATTGTCATCCAAACTGTGCTAATACATGGCAAAACAATAACTTTAATGCCAATGGTAAGTTGAATTACTGTCTCTATTCCACAATATTACAAGCTTTTGCTTTGTAAGCACATATCACTTGCAAGAGTTGTGTTTCAGTTCATCTTTTCGGTTGACGGTTGGGAAACTCTCTTGTAAATTGAGAATTTGAGATAGATTTCTCAACTTCTTTTGGAGGATGCTAATAGTATGCTGAAAAGAACCTGGTGCATCAACTGTAAATTTTTCTTTTGTCCTACTTTCACCCAACCTATTTTTTTATCCTAAGTTCCAAACTGAATTCCCTTGATAGCCAGCAGGCAATAATCAAATGTAACAGTGTCTCAAACTCATAGAGCATTTGTCAATACTAACTTACCATAGTAGCTATTGCTTCTGCAAATTCATAATCTGAGGCAAGACTTTCACTTCACGTCATTTTTGCAGTGAATGGGCATGCTCACTAAAAAGCATCCACACTCATTATCTATGTGTTTTAACAGGCTATTCGGATCCTTTGGGCAAGCAAATACTTAAAAAAAAAACTCCACCTTCAGCACCAAATGTACATATGTTCATATAGCAATCAACAACGTAGTCAACTTTGTACTAAGAATAACACAAACTCATTAACCAAATCACTTTCAAAACGCAAAACATCAAAAGTTGGATAAGAACTGGATTTCCCAGTAATTATTCATACAAAATTTATAGATTGAACCAATCAATATCAACAAGAGATAGCAAACACCAAGACCAATAAGAACACAAAATTCACTTTACCTCAAGAGCTTGCTTGTAGCGCTTGTACTTCCGCAACTCCTTGACAACCCTACAAAGTTCCCATTTGGTGAGCTTCCTGCCTCCTTTCTCCCATTCATTCAACACAGACGCAGAACCCAATTCAGGGTTCTCCATCAGCGATATTTTCTTGTATATAGCGTTCCATTTAATCATGGGTCTTCTTTCATAGTCCACGGTTCCATAGCTATGAATTTGAGAAATGGAGCAAGTGACTGGGAGCTTCTGGTAACTTTGGGTTTGGGAAAGGATAAGCTGGGGAACCTGGCAAGGGAGCCGTCGAGAGTAAGACGAGGTCGACGAGAGAGAAACACGGTGATTCAGTAAGGAAGAAGGCTGGAGAATCATATTGGTTTGGCTAGGGTTTAAGAGGTTTGCAGCCAAAGTAGAAGGGAGTGAAGTGGCGGTTTTGGCTGCAGAGTTTCTCGGTTTTTTGGTGTTCTTGAAGATAAAGTCCCGATGGAAATTACCTTTATGTCTTATCTTTCTGCGGTTCTGATATCCGGGGATTGTTTTGCACTTTTGCTGCCTTTCCTTCTTTCATTATTTCATGCTTTCTTTACTCTATTCTACGGTAAGAGGTGGTTTATTTAGTAAAACATCATCAAATTTTTGTTCAATCTCTTCAATTTTTGGCATTCTTTTTCTGTTGAAAATTCATCAATTTCATTATTTTTTTCTTGTAGCAAGCAAGAGAAAGATACACTTAGTTATTAATTTTTTCGGTTTAAGGATATACTCTTTTTTCACGAATATTGTACCTCGTCAATAATTCATACAATTTCAAAGATTAATAATAAAATTTATACGCAAATAATAAGTATGAATTAGTCATTATTATTTGCAAACATTTTTGTACTTTCTGTCATCAATGATTCATGCACTCTCGTGAATTGATAATACCAAGATAAAATATTTAAAAAATTTTCTGAATTATTAAACCATTTTTTATTATATTTAATGAATTTTTTATATTTTTATTTTAAATTACATAAAATTGTTTATATATCATTTTATATCACATAAATATGATTATATGATTTTTTTTATCACGAGAATATAAAATGATAAATAATATTTAATAAATGATAATTAATTATTTATTTATTATAAAAATTTATTTGATATAAAATAAAAATATAAAAAACTTGATTTAAAGTTATAAAAAGTATTGTCATAATAAAACCAAAAATATAATTTGACAATATTTTATTATTATTTTTTTAAACGTAAGGTTTCCCTTTGCCTGGCACCTAAACATTGTCGAAATAGCACCTTAAGAAGAGTTTTAAGAAATAATAAAATGCCCAATGCCAAAAGGGTAGCATCTAAGGCATCAGTCTTGTAACTTCTTACATTTCAAGGCTTAATAAATTTTTCATTCATGAACAAAAAAACCCTTCAAAACATGGTCAAAGTCCAAAGCCGAAATCATCCTCCCTTTCCTGGCTTAGTTGGATTATGCCCCGAAGATAACATTATTGAGTCTATAACAACTCGAGAAGGAATACACATAGGTGAAAGGAGAAAAATTGAGAAACTAAGCATGAAATGATCCTGAATATGAATAGAAACAAGTTTAATACACGGTGTACTGAGCAAGCAACGTACCTTCTGCTACCGATAATCAATCTTAAGCCTACTTAGACCCCTCTCTATTCAAACTGGGAATGGTTAACTTGTTTCTAAGATTACAGTTGGGTATAAGTATCGGGTGCTGAAAGCTTCATACAGTTTGTTCGTTCTATTGTCCATCTGTCAGAACATGAACAGAGATTTGGGAGCATAAAGATTTAACTGGCATTCGATGGCTAAACCTTTAGAGCAACTTACAATTATAAATCCACCGAGTTTAAGAGCATCCTGGCCAATGTTTGAACATAAGCTCCTCATTTCTTATATTTCCATGAATATACACTCTGGACTCCTTATCCTGTAAAAGTAGATTTGGAGTTAGAACTTTTAGTCGTAATCCTGTCATGCCACACTGCTTATATTAGATGGTTTGATTCCCTACCAGAAAGATGGGCGGAAACCCTGGTTGGATACGAACTCTTGAGAAGCCATTCACTTTAAATAAACACTTGTACCCATCAACAGCTGAATGCTCACTGTTGAAGAGAGAAGAAGAATTAAGTATAAGTGCCATTACCAAGGCAACGAATTCTCAATGATCAACTTTCTAGGTACAAGAAGCTGAGCATCTTTCCTTCATAGAGATGTTGATAAATGTTTATTTCTCCAGCTCTGACATATTTTGACTGAAGGCTACTTATCAAAAACAAACCACAAAAACGAAAGTAAACTCACTTAATAAGATAGGTGAAATTTCTTTGGCCAAATTCCTCAAGTTTAATCCCTTCTTCTTTAGAGTATCTGCATTATTATTTAATATCATTATTAAAGATATAAAAACCTTCCAACCATAGAAAGAATTACAAGTGCATAACAATAACATGAAGAATGGTGTGCTCTCAGAAAAAATGCGGTATTAAAACAAAATTATTATAAACAAATACTTCTCATGCTAAAGCTTAACAAGGAACCTATCATATCAAATTATCAATCTAAGAATCAAAAGATATAAAAAGTTGCTGCTGTTTCAAGGTGGACAATGAGTGAATAAAAGCTAAAACACTAAGGTTACTACCTTGGTACAACTTGCTTGAGCATTGTTGCCAATATCCATTAAAAAATTTCCTAAACTTGCTCCCTTGAGTTGGGGCAAAATGGTTTTGACACTAGTTTAATAAATGATCACGCATCAATCAATTCCTCCTCACAGGCTAGCATTTCCAGTTTAGGTAGCACATAGCTGCTGTTATAGGCTTATAGCTTTAACCATGGACTGTTGAGCTCCACGAAAGGCTAACATCACAAGGCAACCATATTCTCACCTCAACAGACAGAACATCATAAGTCTATTTCTCACACAACATATTACACCATTGCGCTCTATTCAGATAATATTTTGATGCTAGGTCCATTGTGTTGCAGCGATTCCCACAACCATAGCAATGACATTCTATTTTGAAACTATTTACATAACCTAATTTCATTTTTCTGTTTCTGCATGTACCATATAAAATGGTGTAACACATGTAAAGAAAACAAATTATCATCATGCTAAGAAAAGGAATCGGTTATACCTCCATGGGAACTTATCTTCACAAAAAAGGGATATTCCATTCATGGCTGAGAATGGATCGATGTGAACCCAGAGTTCATTGGTATTGTGAGCAAGATGGCCTGTTGAAATCATCCATCCAATGGCACAAAACATTAGTAAGTCACATAGAACAAACATTGTAAGAAACAAATTAAAGAGGACAATAAAATATGCTTATGATCAACTACAGTTTAGCTGAATTAAATGAAAGCGAAAATATAGGGGGTGGGGGAGGGGGGGAAGTTTTGTGCTGCCATCAAAAAGAGAAGGATATGTAACTTTATAGTCTGCTGGTATGAACAAACTAACTAAAATAGAGGCACATACACACACAAACAAGCTTCCAACCTCCTCCACTAAACCCCTAAAAGGACTCTCATGCATGCACACAGATACTGCTATGTTTAATTGCATATGCTAGATAGTCAAAATCAAAACCATATTCAGTAAAGAAACATCAGAAAGGGTGCATCAAAAGTACACAAGTGGTAAATAAGAAAAACATATGAGAGCAGCTTTGTGCGTGTGTGCTTGTCCATGAGGGAGAAACAGGGAGAGAGGACTCACCAATTTGATGCAACTCTTTTAATGCATAACCACTGGGATAATTCTCATAGGACGCCATGAAAGTTATGATTGTGCCCCCTAGACTACAGAATATAAAATGAGTAGATACAAGGTACTAAGATTCATATCTCAACCATTCATAATGTGGGGTTCCACAAGGGACTTAATGGAGCCCAGAAGAACCCCACATTTATGGATGGACAAGACTTTACAATGGTATACAAATAGTTGTAGTGACATGGTTCACAAACAAATAAGCTTCTCTTTCAAACTAAAGCAGAAAACTAATCATCCAACCTGATTAAAAGCAATCCCAGCATGATTAAATTGAGAAATTTCCAGAAACTCTTCTTCCTGTTATTGTAGCTGTAACAAGTAGGCAAACTAAATTATATTGGTAGCAAAAATAACAACTGAAAACGAGAAGACACAAGCAATTACATGGTGTTCTCATGAATAAAAAGCAGCATGCTTTGGATGCATAAACTTAAAGGACAAGTTACACATAAGTTCCCCATAGTTCAAGAATCATAATGAGTTAAAACCTCAAACTTGTAGATACACTGCAATGCCCACCGACCGTCAGTCCCAGGTGTCCAGATCAAGTTTCTTTCGAAACAGATATCCAATTTCTTTTATACAAATTATCAGATAATGTAAGAAGGGGAACAATGCGATGAATTTAATAATCACGGGTGTTACATGTTCAAATCCAAGTTCAGGATCCACTGTGTCATATCTTCCAATTGAGAACAATGAGGGAGGTGACAGCAATTTATACAAAAACAGAAGAAGTGACACAGATACAGCCAGAAATCTGGTGGTATTAAAGCTACAACAAGTCAGGCTTTTACACTCCTATAATACCTTGCAAGAATATTAGATCTTTAGAATCCAATGTAAAGACTACAATTTTTCACTCATGTGTTTCAACTTTGCTATTCCTTAGAAGTTGGCCATATAAATATGTAAACGATAACATTTTATCACTATTACAAACTATCCTCATATATTTCCAATAGTTTAAGCTTTAGAAAAGAAGAAAAGAAAGAAAAAGGAAACAACATACATTCTGCTAGCTGCAACTGCGGCAGATAAGTTAAAGATTGGAACTGAACTGATAATGAAACGGAGCTCCTACATCATTGAAAAATATGATTATGCAACTGTGTGAGTAACTTTGTATGTGTGTCGATTTTCTCAAATAGGAAGCAGGTCAATGATGTATGTAATTTCTTTGTAATACCTTGTGTGGAAGCTTAGAGTAAAGTACAACAAAGGAGAGAACTGGCAGAACCAGAGTAAGAAGCCTTCTGTCAAGTAGTACTCCAAGCTGCGAAATATAAAATAAGTAAATAAAGTGCAGTAGTCTAGAAAAATAATATAGTATAACTTTTATCTTACTAGTTCATGACTCACCATAAAAAGTGGATACGCGGCGAGTAACGACCGAGGCAGTGCAGAAGTAAAATACCAGTGGATGGAATGTGTCTAAATAAAGAATATCATTAAGGAATAGAGATAAAAAAAAAGAGTCAGATACCAAAGAAACACACACAAGCACACATTATAAGATATAATCCTTAAACATATATTTCCTAATAAACAAAAAGTTAAACATATAATCAAAAGGAGGTAAAGCAGAACATGATAGAGCTAAACAATCAATTTATGCAAATCCAATAAAGTAGGTGGCTATACATGCAGGAAGTTTCCAGCCTTAGCCAGTAACAAGACAAATGATGATTATTTGAAAGAATGCATAGGAAACTTCAGAGAGATCTTTGGCCATCAGATGTATTATTAGGTTTTGCTAAGTCAAGTCTTCATCTGAGGGACCCAATAACGTTTCACTTGGAGCTTTCTGCAATAAATAGCATAAAATGGATTATTTTCACTCAATGCGATTTTGAATATATACAAACACATATGACGGCCACATATTCCATTACTAGTGAATGGTGGTCTGCCCCTCAAAGGACTACGGAATGCCATTTTTATAGGGTTCATTTTAGAACAAGGATTCTTGGCTCAACCACATGAAAAGTTAGGGCCTCCAACTCCTGGGATTTCTGTAATGCTTGCAGACACAAATGTGGAACATGCATAAGGAGATACCTACGTGCATGCATAGCAATAACAAAACAAACTTAGCTGACCTCTTCAACCATCTCATAAATTAAAATTTGTAATAGGGAAAAAGTATAAACAAAGCTGGTTAACCATATCAACCAAAAATATGCAATTGGGCCATTTCAAATTAAAAAAGAAATTCGATTGAGCATAGGAAAATCCTTAAAGGAGGATACACCCCATTCAGAACTTCGATTAAGAACAGAGTTGAACCAAAAAACTTCAAATTCAGGCCAAAGAAACCTCTTCCACATGATTGAATCAACCAATATGGTGAGACCTGTGATGAGGAGAACTTCATAAGTTGATAATAACAGATGAATTGTTATCACCAAAAGTTTTTAACATTTATAAGAGACAATTAACTAACCTATGCACAAAAGAGAGATCATGATGCAGCACTTTAATGCTTTCCAAAATGAAATTGATTTGGTCTGTCATTGATAAATTGAAATCTTAGAGTCAAGTGCAATTTAATCAAACTGAACTGCTAACAGATCCAAAAATGTAAGTAAAATGCTACAAACATAAAATATGTATCAGAGGTTTATGTATCAGAGAACATAACTAATTGATTCATTATAGAGGGCAACAGATCAAATGTCATTGCTAGATCTGCCTGTGCATCCAGCAGTGACAGTGCTTGATAAAACAAGAAAAGATACTACACTCTTTTTGAACTAACTTAAGGTGAGTCACTCTTCACAAGAGAAAAGGAAAAAGCAGGAAAAAAAAAAAGTTATAGAATATGACAACCTACCAACAAAAGCTCCAGGCCAAGAGTACAAAGGAGTAAGACAATATCACATCTAAATGTGATTGTAGCAAAAACCTGTTCATGAAGAATGCAGACAAATGTAAGACAATTTAACAAGCCAAAATCAGAATGCAAGTCTACATATTTACAAGATAAAGTAGCCAAAACTGCAAGGAACAAGTAACTGCAAGAAAATTGTATCAGATATCATGAAATAAATGCTTGTAGACATTGTTTAAATAGGTTCATAAAACTTATATGCCAAAACACAGTTAGTTCAGCAACTGCTGACACGATCTTGATCTAAGAAATCAACTGGCAATGTGAGGTTAAGCCTTTTGTCCAACGTATTAAATTCTCATCAATCAAATTGTCTACTGAAGTCCTATTCACTTACAAAAGGTTAAAACAAAGTCAATAGTGGCATATGCAAGGTATGTCAATAATCAGGTTACCATAATAAATCACAAGACATTTAAAAGTATATTTAATTCTCATTATCGCCCTTTGGTTTCTTTCCCTTCCACAACCCCGTGCCTATTGACCGAACAAAAAATTGGGAAATCAACACAAAAACGGTGACCCCATAGATATCTTTTGACAAGACAGAAAATGCAGAAGTTTATAAGAAAAAAAAAACACTATGGAAAACAATGGAACTGATGTACAAGACTGAACGTAATAGAACTGGAGAATTGCATGGTCGCCAACCATGAACAACACTGAAAATACATATTGAAATAAGCAAAAACATGCAGAATACAGCAGCCATTCTACCTAATTGGACTATAAACAGGATTAGCACGGCTAACTTTAAGTATGTATAAGCTTAGGTTGTTGGCTGCTCATGATCATCTGAATTTTAGCCGTAAGGACACATACCAGATAGTTTAAAGCAGTATAAAACCTGCCTTTTAGCCAATGCCCATATGCCAAATTTACTGCATAAAAGGAAAAAAACAGAATTAGCTGAAGTTTTATTGACTTCTTCACAAAAAATAAATAAATAAAACCAGAGTTTTTTTAGTGAAAAAACAAAACAACCTTCATCGTAAGGAAAAGGTAATTATATTTGATCAAAAAAGAAGTAGGAAAAAAGACACAAATCACATAAGAATCACTGCCAGTCCTATAGAAGAAATTATCATGCAGAAAAGAGAGGAAATAAGTATACTACCAACATTCAAATTATCATCTTTTCCTATCTCATGCTTTCTCACCTATCTTGTTTAGTTTCTCTATTCTTTCTTGCCTAGTGTCATTTTAAATATTAGTCACTATCAGTCCCTAAAGAGCAGAATATTCCAAATTACAACCAGAGTTCTACAGAACAAACTCAGTCTTTTCAATCCACATTACCAAGTACAATAAAACTACCATAAGTCATGGTCACCCAGCTCAGGAAGTGGAATTCATGCTTAGGTACATTTTGAGGACAATCGGTCTGTCTTGGCCTTCTACGAAGTAAAAATTCTTTTCACAACAAAAAGCAAGTTCGTAATCTCAATAGTAAATCTAGAAACTTGTGTAAAGCTCTTACTTCTTTTCTAACATAATAAGTACTTTACAGAGATAAAGGATTATAACAGCAATTTGCATAAGTGACTCTTATGGCCCAAATTCAACAGCTTTAGTAGCACACTACATACCAAAGTTGATAAAATCTAGAACTTTAGTCATTAATCTACAATGAATAGTAACACATGCATGTATATGAACTTTTGATCTCTTGACGAAGATTACATGCCCAGGCAGAAAACACCCAGGCTTATGGTTGTGAATTAGTCCATCCTTGTTAAACATATAGCACGGTTCCTTCCAATTATCACCTAGTTTACCAAACTACCTAGGAGGTTAAGTGAAACCGAAAGGTGGAAAGAAAGTGCATTCACGGTAATAACTGAAGTGAGGATATAGAAAGACCACAAGAAGCAATCACCTACACCCATAGCTAGTATATTTGGAAGTGCACGAGTGCAATAGAACAGCAAGTGAAACTGAATTGCAGTTAATATTACAAAGAATGCTTCAACTTGTTGTCCAAACTTGTTTCTGACCTGCTCAAACAATAAATAAACCTCAATGATTAAAACTTTAAACCGAACATTTCAAGAAAGTTAAACCTAAAAGTAGCACAAGCAGAAGAAAGAAAAACTATAAAAGGTGAAATAAATAAACAGCAATTGTTAAAGAAAAAAAACTAAATACCTGAGTACGCAAAAACCGTAATGTATATAGTATGATGCAACCCAATGCCAGACGTACTAAAAAACAACAATTAAAATAAATTCAATAATTCTAGGCAATATACATGTCAACACAGAAAGAGAACAGTGGCATTTATAACAGAGGAAAAGCAATGCATGGTGGCAGTATCATAAACTTCCACAAGAAATTTTAGCGATGGAACATTTTACAAGAATTGCTACAAAATTTTCTATTAGGCAAACCAAATAGCTAGATGATTGAATCAGAGACAGTAATGTATTCTCTTTTTTTTCCACCGGCTGATCCATCTCCTCACATGTCATGCCTTAAAAGAATTATAAATGAAATTCCAGCTATTAAAACAAACAACAAACCAAAATCTACATGCTATGAGTATCCAGAGAACTAACCAATTATGAGACTATAAATCTTTGGCAAGTGCAGCAGTTGCATAGCTAATACCATCGGAGATGCCAAAATTGATACAAGCAATGCCCCTGCAAAGAAAAGCATCACACAGTGATGTGAAAATTGACCAGTTGTGACAAAAATAGACATTCTCAAAATTCACTAATTCCTAGAAGCAACAAAGCTTACCGATAAAAGTGCGAGGCACAACACCAGGAAACTCCAAATGATCATACTGATAAATCAAATTCAACATCCAAACATAAAATTATGTCTAAAATAAACAAAATTACCGCAAAAACATAGTTCGAAAATGAAAAATTACGAAAAAAGAAAAGGCATGGACGAGTAAACTTACATTATCTAAGTGATGCCGGTGATAAAGAATATCGTGCATTGCCTTAAATAAAGGAAAAAGGGAGAGTTCATCGAAGAAAATGAAAATTAAATTGGAAACTGAAAAAAAAAGAGCGAAAATTATAGCTGAAATTGTTTAGGAAAAACTGAATTACCTGAATATTGAAGCTTTCTTCAACTTTAGTGTACGGCACCATTAGCACGTAAAACGCGGCGATTGATCCCAGAAGCAAGTCGTAGCCTGTCAAAATCGGAAAAAACAAACTGAAACGATACGAAATATACGATCTCTGGACGAATTTGAAAGCCAAATTTACCGTAGAACTGAAGAAATTTGGAAGCCATTGTTGTGCACTCTGCAGAGACGGAGGCGAGAAATCTATAGCCTACATAAATACCGTATTAGTTAACTTTTTCTCCAGTCAAATTATTTTAAATATTTAATTGAATCAATTTTAATAAATAATTATTTAAAAATTGATTTATTCAAAATTTTTAAAAATATATTTTTCAAAATTTAATTAATTTCATATTTTTAAATAATTATAATTTTTAAAATTTAATGAATATTTAATAATGAAATTTTTTAAAACTTCAAAAGGAATTTGCACCAGCCTTGATGTCACAATGTCTTGCCGTAGAAGGACTAAAAATTATTCTAAATTACTGATGTAATAAATTTGATCATATTTTTCTTAAGATCTAGTCGTTTTAAAGTAAAATAATTTTTAAAATATTTTCAAAATTATATTTATTAAAAAAATAAAAAATTATTTTTAATTATATCAATAAAAAAGTACATATTTATCACATAAAAAATGTCTTAGGCTTTCGAGGTAAGATATTTTCTTAAGCCTAATAGTATAAATTTTATGAATATTAATATTTAATTTTAAATTTAAAAAGCTTAAAAAATATTTTTATTTTTTAAAAAATTAAATTAAAATAATCTTTAAATTATTCAATATTATTAAAATTATAAAAATATGTTTAATTAAATCATTTAATATAATTAATATTTTTATTCATACATTTAATAAAATTTAATAATAATTGTAACAAAAAATATTTTAATGATCTCATTTAATTAATACATATTATAAATATAAGTTTTGAATGTTTTACACAATAAATGGATATTGATATTTTTATAATTTTGTAGTAAAAAACGATAAGATGAAAATTGTTTTGAAAATTAAAATTTACTTTCATTACAATATGTGGTTAAATGATTTGAAAAATATTAATATTAATTTTTTTATTTTCATTTCCATTCATTTGTTTTGTAATCGACTCTTATATATTATTTTAACTCAAAATAACTCTAAGAGTGATGATGGACAAGATGATACAAATAATAAAAAATATTTTTGATAATTTATTTAAATAATAACAAATATTAAAAAATTTTATAAAATAATTTATAAAAAAATGTTCTCTAATTATTTTTCAATTATCAAATAGATCTTTAATCTCACTATGCTTGCTTGTCATGTGTATATCAACATTTGAGCAATGATAACAAAAATCTAATTGGTCATCACAAAATCTCTCCCACTCAATATATATATATATATATATATATATATATATATGTGTGTGTGTGTGTGTGTGTGGTAAAGTGATCAATTTTTTTTTTTTGAAAAATATCATGTGTAATATAAATTCTATTCGTGGGATTTATAAAAAAGGGATTATCCTTATGTTAGAATACCTAATAAAACATAGATAAAAGAAAATATAAATGTACTTGTTTTTATGCATTTTTTGTTCTTGCATTATTTTAAATTGATTATACTTGCATTATTTTAAATTGATTTGATTAACCTTCTTTAAATAAGGTTTGATTAATTCCACTATAAAAATGTCTTAAATGAATAAACCGAATCTAGTGTTTGTACATATAACCAGTTACACTTTATTAGCACTAGTTGTACTTTATCCTAATCCTAGAATTAAACAACAAGCTTAGATCTATTAATGTTAAAAAGTCAGTTGATTCGATTAAAATATACTGATCCATATCTTGTATGCCCATTGTTCTCCATATAAAGATGGCAATGGCAGTCATAATGTTAAGCATGAAAGTGGAGGCTGCCACATTTGTAAATAAGCACAAACAAGAAATGGAATCAAGTATAATTTATAGGTTTAGAAACTTTTGAAATATATATACTACTACCACAGACTTCATTAACGTTGTTTTCTAAGAATGATAATCATCTAAACTTCTTGCAAATATCTTCACTATATAACGGGTATTAATTGATTAATCCAATTAGATCGATTAATTCAACTTATAATTACTCGATTAATTCAACTTGTAATTATATTAATTGAAAATTTTGGACTATGAGTCTACATACACTCAAACCTAACCTTCTTAATTTTATTTTATTTCATTTTTTATTTTAATTATAAAATGAATAAAATTAAATTATGAAATCTTAATAATACTATAGAGTTAATAACATTAAAATGTTCCGACAAACATAAGCAAAAGTATATTAAAATGTTGCAACAAACACTAAAATCAATTAATTCATTTAATCAAAAAAATTCAAAATCAAAATCGACCTTTAATCACTCTCACTTTTGATTTGAAGGAAAAATTAACTTAATCAAATTATTTTAACCGAATTTATTTGATTAATTTGATACTCTCCACCAAATTGAGGCCTACCCCATTAGATAATGGGCTTTGGACCATAGACATGGGTTCTATAATTTCATCCACCTTCAAGGTTAAGGTACAGAGCCGAACCCAATCTTCGTTGATAACTCGATAAACTCTGAAGCCGTGTTCATGGCACCCAACTTCACAGAAATTAGAGAGAAAGACACTCTGTGATTGGCGCCAAAACCTAAATATTTCTTTTGTTTATCCTCAAAACCGGAACCCATTATTTTGCTCTGCTTTGATTTGCCCCGGGAATCCCAAATAGTTCCATATGGAATCAAATTCCCCTCTCCCTAAACACCCAAAACTCCCAACACCATCCAACGATGTTGATCCTAAAGATCACGGCAACAAATCGATGAATGATCTGCCAGAACCCGTAGTGCATCACATCTTTTCGTTCCTGGAAACCATAGACGTGATCAGGGCGAGGGTGTGTCAACAAAGTGGAGGTATTTGTGGACTTCGATGCCTCACTTAAACTTTGATTACCAAGCCGGTTGGTTAAACCCATTACGTCAAGAATTCCCTTCTACCAGAGTATATGAGAAATTCAAGGATTTTATCAGCTGGGTTCTAATGGCCCACGATAAATCTGTCAGCATCCAAAGCTTTCGTCTGTCATGCTTGAATAATGACGATTATCGTTCATTATACGGATGGATCAAAGGGGACCCTTTGCCTTGCCACGCTATCTTGTTGCTCCTGATTCGCTGGAGATATTAGAGTTAGATTTGCAGGGAAGTGTTCTTAAGATTCCTAGCGATGTGGGTTTTAGCCGATTGAAGTCCCTTCAACTAGTGAGAACTCAGTTGTTGGATCAGAATTTGTTTCACAATTTTGTTTCAAGCTGTCCTCTGCTTGAAAATTTGAGCTTGGAAGGGTGTCTGTTTTATGATTTTAAGGTTCTTGATATTTCTTTAAGGAATCTAAGGATATTGTTTGTTGATAATGATATGGGTGGAGGTCCTTTTGATGAACGCTTATGGGAGTGTGTGTTAAAAATTGCTTGTCCAAATCTTGCGTATTTTCATTTGTCGGATCCATTTGCTCAGAACTTCTCTTGGGACAAAATCCCTTCTTTGCTTCAAACAGCCACCATTTGGCCCTGGTGGTGGGAGGATGCGCTAATACGTGAAGAGCTTGCTAACTATCTGTTGAAGCTTCTCAGAGGGGTTTGTCATGCAGAGGTTTTGAAACTAGGTAAGTACATTTTGCAGGTACGGATTGATCTTTTTCTCATTCCATTAGAACTGTATGTTTTTAAAATTAATCTGTTTCCCGCGCTGCAAATAGCTGGTTCTAGCTTGCCACGAAGTGATCTTCATGATAGGGAATGGGTAGAACAAAGAGTGTAAGTAAGATTCATGCATGAATAGGAAATGAAGAACAAGCAGATGCAGAATTTGTGATTAACTCTTTCTAGCTTTAGGGTGCTTTTTTGCTACTGCTTGTTCATCTTATGCAAAATTGCAAAGAAATTACAATAGGACCATTATGCTTTGATAATGTATTACTGTTTGATAATTTAAATTTCTACATACTAAAGCAGTTATTGTTCATAAATCTTTCTTCTTGATGTCCCCACAGCATCTTTACCCAGTAGTTGCTGAACCACGGTGCTTCTCCACTACATTTTATAATCTGAAGTCCCTAAAATTGTTCACTGGCATCGACAAATGCTACATAGGGTCACTAATCTACTTGTTGAAATGTGCTCCCAACCTCCAGCTTCTTTCAGTATATATTGATGAAGAAGAGGTAATATTTGATCTTTGAACTGAAGAATGGACTAGTATTTCAGCAAGTCTGTATTGACATCGTAAGAAAACCTTTGAAATGGGCAGTTGACACCCTAATGATCACGGAACATCATAAAAGAGATGGCTGACCTTATATGCTATACTTAATTGCTAAAAGAAGTTAAAAAAGATGGCTATGCGCTATGGATGAACACATCATCCATATGCCTTTTTGTAACTTTCATCCAAGTTGGGATGAATTTTGGCTGAACTAATCAGGCGGTCTTGACGTCGGCTCATGCTGATGCTTGAACGGGCTTCTGGCCCATAAGGGTGAGCTAAATGTTCAATGAATTGGTCTTGGAGGATAAACCTTTTCACTTATTACTTTTCCACTTTCTGCTTATCCATTTGGATCCTCAACTTTTTTGTTCTTTTGCTTCTACTTTTGTTCTTAGATTCCATTTTTTATTTGTGTTTATTTACAAATGTAACAACCTTCACTTTTATGTTTAACAGTATGACTGCGATTATGAATGGGAGATACCGGACGAGGCAATTGCATGTTCAACAGATCATCTCAAGATGGTTAAGCTAATTGAAGTTGACTATAGCGACTATGAGCTTTAGCTGATAAGGTTCTTTCTGAAGAGTGGACATGTACTGGAGAAAATGAGCATCATTTGTCTTAACCATCTCCAGCGAGAAACTCAGATGGAGGCTATCCAGGAGGTTATGAAGTTTCCTAGATCTTCTTCAAATGTCACAGCCACATTCTCTGAGCCAAGGCAATCTGACTAGGATGATGTGTTATGAATAATTGTGGGAAAATTATCTATAACAGATTGACTGTTGTCTTGATTTAATAGTATATGGTGGAAGTGACTTTATGTGTTTATTTTATGGAATTTAGCAATGGTGTTTTCTTGTATCTTTGATGAAAACTATATGTAATATGAAGAACAATGGATACGACATAAAATATTGACCAGTATATCCAGAAGTAATATAGAATTCTCAAGGTAATTCCTGTCTCCAAGTGGATTGATTGATCATAACGATAATTACCATGAGGGAAAACCCTCAAATCACTATTGGATAAAGATGTCAAAGGATAATACATTATATTTGATCACATCAATGCTTTTGGGGTTTTCTCTGAATTCCTATTTTTAGAAAGATGTGAAGCATTCATGCTCAGATGAATTTGAGTCATCACAGGGAGAGTGGTTGTGTCTACCTTCATAGGTTGTTATCACCATCCGACAATCCTCAGACAATCGTTCAACTCTCTTCTTCACTCGACAGTTGTTGTGGGTACAGCGGTAGTAACTCCTGCCAAGTAATTCAAACAAAAAAACCTTAGGTAAGAGATGGAAAATCTGCTTAAAGATTGTACCTAAGCTTACTTTTTAGTTCTAATCCTGGAAAGTTTGTGATCCTTTTTAGATGAACTATAGCTGTATGTGTAAGCAAATGTAGTCTATTAGTAACATTAAAGCATTGGCCATTTGTTGCCAATCTAATACTGATCTAAATGAAAGAATGCAGTAAACAATTAACCAATATTGGAAAAGAAATCAGAATCTCCAAGCAATTCACTTGTGTTATGTTTGGGAACATTAATTTGAGAGAGTGGATTTGGATTCAGTTTGCTATATAAATTGCAAGCATGTAACACGTACATTATGTAAATATTAATTAGTTAACATTCAAATACATCAACAAATATGGATTCAACAAATTTACGAACCTGAAAATGATCAACAAAATTATATTTGCATGTATTTTATCACATAATTTATATGAAATTTAAGACCCAAATTCTTTCTTTCAAATTCAAATTACCAAACACGACTTTAAAGATGTACTTTTAAAGTTCTCAAAAATTCATATTTCTATAAATGATCGAACATAGTTGATATTTTAGATTGGAGTAACCAACAGAAAATGCAGACTAACCATGGAATGCAGATGTTAGATGTTTTTTGGGATAATTATATAATTAACAGGCTGCTATAAGTCATGATGCAGAAGCAGCATAAGTGTTTCAGACAACAGGCCAATTTGTTCTTTGATTAGTTTGTTTGATTGTGTTATATTCTAGGATAGATCTTACATATATAAATGTTTATGCAAAAATGTTACACAGAATAGCTGTCCCCCTCATTCCATTGTCGACAAATATATGATAAATATTTAGCAATTTGTAGGTTAAATGTCATCATTTCCATATAAACCCAAGTTTCTTGAGGGCAAAATACCATTAATTTTGGATCAAACGAGGGTATCTTCATCTCAAAATGTTGACAATAATTTTTATTTGAATTTGTTGAAATTCGAAAATTATGAATATATTATTATATAATAACCCAAACTTGAAGCAATTAATCTTTACGATATACTCCCACTCAAATTTGTACAAAACAAATAACTACAACTAAAATTTATATTTGTAGATTAAAAATAGTGCTAGCAGTACCATTTTCCCCTTTCTTTTCCTACAAATTATCCAAATAAACTTGTAGAAGGTAAGCGTGCTCATATTATCTATGAAAAGTTGTTTAACCTACATTAATAAATGTAACTAGGCTAGGAATGGGAAGAAAAATAATTGCATAATCAGGATAAAAGGAAGGTTAACCCCCATGCAGAGTGACAAAGGGGAAAGCATAGAAAAAAGTTACCTTGGATGGAGGCTGTTTTTAACAACCTTCTGTCCGTATTTCCTCCACTTGTAACCATCGTCAAGCACATCGACATCACTTCTCGTTTGGAAACAGAACCTTGGCTCCCTAAGCTTTCTCCTAACCTTCACTTTGCTCTTCTCTGAGGCCGAGCTCCTCCACCTGGCCAAAAGGATTGCAAAAGCTGCTGATCAACTCTTTTCTTTTAAAAGACCCAGTAATGGAAATAGAAAGTGAGATCTATTGCTGGACATGCATGCGGATTCGGGTATCAATGCATATCAAGACTTTTCTCATGTCAAGTACTTCCATCTCTCCATGCCCACTAAAGAGAAAGAGAAAAGTTTAAGACTGCTTATATCCGCTGTACAAAAAGCAGTCCATTAGCAAGCTGAAGGAACCCTCTTCCATGTAAAGGCCGTAGATCTCCTTAGATTCTGGAAAGACCTTGAAGAATTTTATACATCTAGGTTTGTGACCATGAGCTAGCGTGCATGTATGTCTTTGGTGGGAGTCTCTGTCAGTGCGTGTGTGCCCTTGAGAGAGAGAGAATATGACCCATAAATAAGAAAAGAAAAAAAAATGGAAGCTAAGAGAAAAGGTATACCATGAGTTATTTCCATCGTTAGCGTTACTGGCGCAGTTCTCGTCGTTTACAGCTTTGGGATCTAAGGTACCTACCTAAAAATTTTACCCAACATCAACACAACATAAAATACAAAGATCAGCACAACAGTAGGCAAAATCCCATATCTGTATTGAAACTTGTAAAAGGTTTGTCTTCATCTTTTGTTATTGTTTGAAACCTAATTTTCCTCTTTATACCTGGTCGTTATGACTAAACCCCATGGCGGTGGAATTGGTGCTGTTACTAATGCTGGCGGCGGTATTGACAGGCTGAGATATTTGATGAGAAGACTGCGCAGGAGCCAAGAAACTCATGACGGCCTGGTTTTCTTCAAACTGTACAAATCCCATTTCGTGGATCGCCTGCGGGGTTGAGAAGGAAACTTGTAGCTCGTAATTCGAGACTCCTCGTTCTCCTTCCATTTCCTTTAGAACAAAAACCCAAACAACCTCTCCTCCTCCTCCAACTCCTCCAACCCTCCTCACCCTACCTGATCCTCTTATCCTGGGATTATATTGCTTGCAAGTTTTCGTAATTGTATAGCAACTACTTTGCTTTTGTTCAGATAAGGTCGTTTTGCCACAGAAACAGGGCGGTCTTGGATTTGTGTTCCACACATCCACGCGAGATGCAGTCTGGTCAACTAGTAAACGCTAGATGGAATGTTTCTCCCTGGAAATTATTCCTTCTCATCTTGTTGAGCGTGCACAAGACTTCCCACAGCAACTGCTCCTCTCTCTCTCTGAGGCACAGTAATAACAAATTATTAAGCCGATATATATGCGGTTGTGTACAAGAAAAATAAAAGAACTAAGGACATATTATTACTTATCAACAAATTGTAGGTATGAAATTCTTTTGATGATGCATGCATAGGAGAGGTTCAAGGGACACATATCATTTCTATTATTGACTATGAGTTTGTTTTTTCTGATAAATTTTGTCCTAATTCATCTTTGTAGCTAGGTCTCAAGATATATGATCATGACATAAAATTGATATATTGTACCCTTAGAGAATACTATTTAAATTATGACAGAGAGTTTAAACTCCAAACATAGGTTAAGAAAAACAACTAAGGAAAGTGAAACTCACAGAATATTATAGAAATACAAAAAATTTTCTTATTTGTGAAAATTTTGCTTTTATCAATTCATTTGCAATTGAGTTTGTCTCTTTAAAGATGCGTTTGAAGGATAAGTATAAGGTTTTATTTTTGTAACTTTTAACCTTTACGTATATGATTGACTTTTGATTGCTAATCTAATTAATAAATTGATTCAAATGTCCTAGATATGTATATAATGTATTTTTTGAATGTTTAGATGTACGTAGGTATTATGTCAGTTGTTACACTATACGTGAGTAATGAGTATATCCTATGTATATAGAACTCCCTATTCATTTAACAGCTTGCTACAACTCATAAATTTTTTGTTTAGATTTGATATATTTTGGTTGTAATCATTATGTATAGTTGAAGCACTTTAATAACTTAGACTTTTAACAAAGGATTAAACCTTTAAGGCTAATTATACCGAAGAAGAATATATATATTTTTCTACTTTATATAAATTAAAAGTATCATGTTTCATGAGATGTTCATTTTTTTTTAATTTTAGTTGTACGTTATTCAACATTTTGGTAATTTCATTATAACACGTAAATTATTCACGCCATCAATCACGACTAGATAATTTACTATTAACATCGTTTCACACGGTTTTGTCTTTACGAATCTAATTTAGATTTAGTTTTAGTCTAATACTATAATGTGAGTGTGAAAAGGATATTGAAAGATTCATAGTTTCAATTTAATTTAAGAAAAGAATAATAATTAAATTTGAAAATTTTAATTTAAATCTCATCAATTTCAAAAATATAGTTTTAACTTAATTTTCAACTAAGAATTTATAAAATCATGCACATAATCAACACGATTTTTTAATTTCTTAAGTTTTGATATTATTTAGTTTTCAACATTGTCCCAAAGTCAGAAGTTCCATTTCTTCAGGTTTCAAAAAGATCCCAATGCTTGGTTTTGATTTTTGGTTTTATAAATCAGAAAAGTAACTTAACATTTTATTTTCATCTCTGAAAAAAATCAGTTTAAATGTGAATATACTATCGCATAATATGAATCATATTTTGTCTCTTGATTAATTAAATTGGATTAAGCATGCAAATATATAATTATATATAATCTTTTTATTTTGGTATTAGAGTACGATTTGCTCACTACATTATTTTTTCGTTTTGAATTTCAAATATAATTATATTTGGTATATATAAATCTATCTTTAATACTATGAAAAATCACACAAAACAGTTTTAAATTAAATATATGAATTTGATTTTGTATGATATCTATTCTATAACAAGTAAAAAATATTATACTTTAGATACTCTAAAAATACATTTTATTTTAGATTTCATATATTTTCATGGTTGGAAAAAAAAAAAAGAGAGTGGAAGACATACATTTACTTTAAGATAGAAAAGTAAGGACAATATACTATCTTTAATTGATGCTTTAAAATATGACGAAAGCCTTGCAACTTGATAAGCCTCAACTCTATCTATTGAAACACTTATCCTTATCCCTTGAGTTAAGTCGAGGTTGGCATCTTCATTAGATTAAGAACAATGTTTGACAAAATTATATATAAAATAAAATAATTTTTTGTAATCTTATATGTGGAGAGGAAGTTGGATGTAAAACATTCATGTGTACCAAATCTGATGAGGTAAATCTTCTTCTGGATGGTGTTTACCCATTTTGTACCCATGGGAGAGCAAAAGGGGCAGGGAATTGACTTGGTAAACGTTTTGTCTTCACAAATAGTGCAAGATCAGAAAGGAAGATATAGTTCTGTCTCCACTCCCTACCACATTTTGTAGCCTATGGCTATAGGGTTAGGAGTTTGCACTTCATTTTGTTCCTCTCTAGCCAGCCATTATAAATATTTATTTGACCATTGACACTATCAACCTGCACTAAATTTATGTTCATGGAAAGTGAGAAAAATATGTGATCAAGTCTTCCTTTAGCAGAGAATTAACCACAAAATTATTATTTTTATACATTAACGGTAAACTTTTAAAATAAAAGTAAATAGTTATTATATATTTATTTAATAGAGAATTAATTTATTAATTTTAATAAATTTACCGTAATCCGATATGTGACCCTCTAAAAATTAATTGGCAATTCAAATAAATGAATTTTAAAAAATAAGGAAAATAAATAATTAGGCAAAATCAGTGATGTTGGTAGCCTGATTTTGCTCCTAAAAGCAAGTGGAGTTCACAATGGAGTTAGGACGAACTGTTACATAAGTCTTATCCTAGTGATAAGGAGTTTGTCGAGTCCCTTGCGTAATGAAGTCTCCAAAAGAAATATCCAGTTAGTTGTGTGCTTTGTGTTTAATTTTTAAAGGTAGCTAGGTTTTCTTAATTAGGCACTATGCTTATTAATGAACAGCAAGTTAATTAATGGATGAAATTATTCTTTTAAAAAAGCTAATACTTTTACCCATTTTCCTTTTAACTTTGGTGTTAAAAATTTTGAGATTTATTATATAATATGATACTACACACGGTATCACATTCTATATTAATCTGTAAAGTATTGTCTGTTTTGATCTATTTGAATTTCATAATTTTATTTCATAAAAAACATATCATAGATTAAAAATAATGGTGAACTGTTAAATACCCAATCTCACCTTAATACACAAATGTGAGATTCAAGACTTCTTTTTGAAATCATGACACAAAAATTGAAAACAAGTATACTTTTTTTAGTTCAATTTCAAAATTTTGTTATGTCCTTTTTAGTGATTGATTTTCCTTTATAGAATCATCGGTTTGTACCAAATTTTGACATTAATGAAATCTTTTCTCTGATTGAGAAAAAAATGAAATTAATTAGTGATATATGGTTGTGCCTTAATTTTGTTGTCTTAATCACTTAAAGTAAGATTTATTCATTTGTTTAAGCAAAGGTCATGTTCACAAGAGCAAGACTAGGTATATTCTGGTTGCCAAGCTGAGAGGCAAGAGAGAAAAAGCACAAAAAAAGATAACCAGAAGGAACAAAGAAATGAGAGGAAAAGGGAGGGAGAGAGAGAGAGGGAGGCAGACCTGAGTCTTGGAGGCAATGAGTGGGGGTGGTGGGGTACAATCAAAACTTCCATCCATGTCAAAAAAATGTGCAAATGCAGTTGAAAGATGGGAAAACGATGGAGCCTTTCAAATCCTGCCAAATCAAATTCCAATATAACTCCATACAGGGCATAATATGTCCACTCGGACCACCCTTCACTGCAAAAAGAGAAAGAAAAAAACTATGATAACTCCCACCCCCACATTTTCATCCCTTGCGTTTCTTTCACCCCCTCCTATCCCTCTTTCCACTCACTCTCACCTGTTACTTCATCCACAGTCCTCCCTCTTTCTTCATTTTTTTCTTCCCCATGAAAAGACCCTCTCAACTCCCTCCACAACACCAACAACAACTAGTAGCTTCAATTGTTTCTCTTTCTCTTTTTCGCTCAACAAACTTCCTCCCATACATCACACAACTACTTTAAGAAAGCAATATTTCGAATGTAACCTTAACTAGAATATATGTGTTGAAGATCTTCCCCGGCCCAAAAGTTCTAACTGCCATTTGCACTAACCAAAAATGCAATTTTGACTCAGGGTTTTCATCAGTTTTGTCACCTCATCATTAGCCACAATGAGGAGCACCAAGCTTGTTACAGCAGGTTGCTTGCTTGGCTTTGCTCTTCAAACCCCAAGTGGAATTTTACCAAGTTTTGAAGGAATTCTAGTAACTCTATTCGCCAAAAAGAATCATGGAATTTGTACTTAAATAGCACATAGTAGTTGCCTCGATTAATCTTAAAAACCCGTCCGTCATCCTAATTCTTTTCACTTTTGTTTCAAGGAAACATGATTACCTTACAAAGACAAACATATACCGCCCTAAGCTCTGATTTAATATCGATTTCTAGGTGGTTAATTAAGTCAGAAATCTGACTTCATTGCAAGGTTTAGGCTAAATGCTGGTAGAAGAAATGGGAAATCAACATAACACTGTTACTGAGGGGCATAGTTTTCATGGAAAATATTGAATGAGGCTGCTTGCCGTTGGTCGGTTCGAAGCATATCTTTTCTGTTTCCCCTTTTTTTCTCCTAGGAGAATATGGGAACAGATGGAAAAAGGGCTCAGCCTGCGAATTTGGAAAAATTGAAAACAAAAGATGTTGAGGTGAATGCACACTCTTTTCTCTTTTTCTCTTTTAGTTTGGACAAGATTTCTGTGAAAAAGTCAAGGGATATGGAGAAAAAGGGATCCTCGCAAAAATTTGAGCTGACACAGGGGGAGGCATATACCCATGTTGCTTAGTCATATCATGCTCCAGCCCCACTGTTGAACCAATTGAACCCAAAAAGGACAAAGGAACATCTTCTCATCAATTCGATGACTGCAACCTATGGCATGAGGATAATGTCGTGCCCGTGACAGAAACTTAAATAAAACAAGTACGTATTTCTTCGTTTTAAATTTAATAAAACATATAATTTCGATCTTAAGTATTTTCCAGATTTTTTAATTTCATTTCGCGTGAATAATAAAGCAATCAAAAGTACAAACTAAACGTACTGCATTTTACTTTTTAAAGAATAACAAGGTTGTAGTAACCAGTAGTCTATTACTCTACTCTAACATAAAACACAGTAGATTAGCCTGAAACCGTCTGCTATTTGAAGATTATCTGTTGAACATGTTGCTTAAGTAAACTATGGCATTGACGTTTTGCTTGTTTATTGGATTCAATGACTGCTGAAGTAACTATAAACAAGCTAATTAGTCATCAACATCGTATTCTGTGTTTGTTGAACTCTAATTTTGATAAAACTATTTGTGAATTCATTAGTAGCTGATGTTCTGAATTTGCCATTTTCTCAACTGAATTTTGAAATGACAATGTATTCTGCAAATGATCACCTTGTAGCTGTTCAATCCCAAACATTGCATCACATCGGTTGTGTTTGTCGACCAAGTGGTGCAGGCTGTGCCAGCGGTAGTGGAACTAATGGTTTGTTGGTGATACAAAGAAAAAAGAACAATAATCTTGTTTAATTTGCAAGCAATTACCAATTTGTGGATTCCATCACCCAAGTCTTGAAAACTTTAAGACTCAACATTTCATTACCAAACAATGGTAAATACTCGTATCTCATTATATATATAACTTTGATCATAGCCTTGATGAGAAAGATGAAGTTCAAAATACAAAACACGTACATATCAACCATCAAACAGGCTCAAAAGCAATTTGAGACAAGCAAATTCGTCAAAACAATTCTACTTTAATCATTGACAATAATAGTAATTCAAATTCTTTAGGCTGTTTGCAGACTGGGGTTCCACACAAAATAGTTTGCAGGAACTTGTTGGCTAGGCTGGAGCGACACTCTCTTTGTTTCTAATGATAAATCTTGCATGTCAGACCAGAAAATTTTCTTATTCCCTGCTGTGGGAATTCTGCCGCGTAGGCACTGATGTTAAACCTTCAATGACAGAAAGAAGAGGGAACATGTGAGTGGAGATGAAGCCAAAAAAACCTTCACAATCAGACAATTCACAAAACTATTACTTCTTAAATTCGAGATCCTTCAAATCCTCTTAGCGGCAAACCCCTTCTCTGTGAACAATGAAAAAAAAAATTAAAAGAAGTAAACTGTGGATGGTGAATGCCTCTGTGTCATGATAATCATTGCAAAATTTGTCAGCTCTCTTTGAGCCAGGTATGTATGAATATGACTTGCAATTAATGCCTTAATGAATTATAGGAAAATAAAAAGGAAGAGAAATGGTTGTCATTATTCATAGATAATCTGGATTATTAGGATGAACACAACAGGAAGAAAGATATGTCTAGCACTGCTCTTTGATAGGAATGTAAAATTAGATTAGACCAGTGAAAAGGACTAGAGGAGACACATAAGAGGTTAGGGAAGACACGTGAGAGGTCATGACTAGCTCTGAGGTGACGTATTAGCAATGGTAATCAAAATCTTATAAACGATTTGATCCGATTAAATGAAATTAAGATATCTTATAATTTGGTGCGGCTAAGATTTGAAGCAAACAAATCCATCGAAGCAAATGAAAAGGGAGAAATACTAGTACCAAACAACACCTAACCATGTCTTTTGGACGAAGGAGAGAAAAGGGGTAAGCAAAGGGAACCGACATGTCCATGATTCCTATGTTGAAGATTCAAAAGTGTAATAAACGATCCTCCCAAAAAGATTACAATTTGAAGCAATAAGAGAGAAGTAGCTAAAGGCAGTATATGCTGAATTCCATGCAACAATCATGGCCTCTTTCAATCAATTTTCTAAAGTCTTCCAAATTTCATGATGGTAGAGTGAGGCATCAGATATTTGGTGGGTCCCAACCCTCCCCTTTCTTATGTCTCGTAAACCTGTCCATATGTTTCTGCTCAAGTTTTTGTTGTTTCATAAAATGGGTTTTTGGGAGTTTTGAAGGGAATGTTCCCAACAGGTAAAACTGAACAATCTTCACCAACCTTGCTATCAACATTTGTTTCCTTTTTATTCTGATTGTCAATTTTTCTAGCATTATTATGTAATGAATGACAAAGAACATGTGTCGAACTTTAAAACAGTGAATGATGTTTAAAGAGAATTAATATGAACACCGACATGTTTACGGAAAAAAATATAAATTATATTCAAAAATATCCAAACCTAGATAATATGCTCAAGGCTTCTATCAGGCATACACAGGCAGTCAAATTTATTAAAAACACCTGCAAAATTGAGGTTTCAGGTTTTTTTGGGCCAATATGAACGTTATTGGAATACTTAGGCTATGGCCAATATGAGGTTGTTTAGTTTTCCTGGCCCAATCATATTTCAGGACCAATACCCAGAAAAAGAACAAAAGGAAACACTCATATTACACAAATAACCACTCATTATTCGCAATTATTTCATAATCGTTATGTTAAAATATGAAATAAGAGTCCTTCGGGTTTATTCTGCCCAGGATTGGCCTGCTTATGGGACATTCATGTCACTTTCTTCTGAGCTGAGGGAAGCAAAAGGATCTAGTGGCAGGGGTAAGCTTCCTGTTCTTTCTTCCGATATCTGAATGAAGTGCTTATGGAAGAACGATTACTTGGATCACATTGTACACGCCACATCGCCACAACTGATAACTTCTTCGCAATGTCACTCGTAATCTATTATAGTCACCAAAAACTGCCCTGAAAATGGAAATTCACTCAGTGTTTCATTCCTCCCAGAGCAGGATGACTCGACCCCTGGGTAACCACAACTCTCTGGCTGGCGATCTTTAAGCCGAAGGGGAAAAGCGGACGGAAGGACTATTTTCACTGAAAGCTGCATATGGACATGATTCACCGGCATCTGCATGGCATAAAACATAAGAGAAAGATAACTAATTGAAAGTCTATAACACTTTGTGTAGTCATTATGTATAGGGCATAGAAACTCTTCAAGGTTATACTATATTACTACTATCTAACAAACAGCTTAGATACCTCCCCATGTGGAAGCTTTTACTCTGATTTTTCTTTCTTATCAAAAAAAAAAATTATGATTAATGGCCAAAGTTCATGATTATATTGGCAAATGGCAGTCCCTTTCACCAAAAAAAAAAAAGAAGACTCACAATGAGCGTGGATTGACCGCACCTCGCCCTTTCCAGGAGATTCCTCTCAATGCCTTCAAACGGTTCTTCATGTAAACACAATACACAGCACTAAATCAGAAACTGGTTATTGTTCGATTAAAAAAATGAAAAAAAGAAACATACGTGGCATCCTGATTCCTGCATTTACAAAGCTCAGGACTCGGTTTGCTTCACTTCTAGCCATGCCAGTTCTTAATCTCCTAATAGCCTTGTTCTTCCTTCCAGTCTGCAATTCTATGAAAGAATCGTCTTGCTCTTCGTATTACGGAAATTTACCAATACAATATTCATTTCGATTAATGCAAAAAGTACCCAGAAAACAAGCTGTATTTCTGCGATTATCAATTGGGAACTGTCACAGTATTTTAATACGACAATGCTTAAGAATCAAACAGATTAACAGAATACTATTACATTACACAAATTATCACTATAATTCACAATTCTTTTCTAATCTTTATGCTAAAATACGAAATAAAAGTCCTTAAGCTAGCTAGTGCACAAGCACACGTTAAATGCGACCAGGATTGGCCAGCTTATGGGACATTCATGTTACTCACTTCTGAGCTGAGGGAAGCAAAAGGATCCGTTGGCAGGGTTAAGATTCCTGTTCTTCCTCCCAACGTCTGAATCACAGTGCTTATCGAAGGACGATCACTCGGATCCCATTGTACGCACCAGATTGCCACAACTGATAACTTCTTCGCAATGTGAGCATCTCCATATTTTTTCCTCTTTAATTCCCAAATCCTCCCCATCTGCGAGCCGATTGTAAACCCACTCAGGGAAGAAAACTTGGCTTGTGTTTTCCACTGTAAGATCCTTGTTTTTCCTACCTCCAACCTTTTCAAATAACAACATGCCGAAACTGTAAACATCTGTTTTATATGATACATTTTCAATGTTCCTATCAGACATGGAATTGATGAATAAATGGTTCAGATAAATGTTCAAGAGAAACAGAGATGAATGACAATGAAACCAGAACACTCGACAGGGAAGAAAGAAGAAAAACAGGGAACTCAAAGTGCACCGTTTCAATGAAGCTTACCATACTATTGGAATAGCATACAAAACTCACCGTTTCATTTGTGTTTAAAAATTAGTTAGCTGATGATTATTTGTTAGTTAGGAATTTAACTTTACTCTTTTCTGCTAAACCATGCCTGTACAGATATATATACCCCGATGTAAGGTCTTTGTAAGATGAAGAAATATTCTGACATTTCTCCTATCCCTAAGCGCCGTCTTCTTCACCATTTCTGACAGTTCCCGGAGAAGTAGACCTCTGGTGCAATGTAACCCATGGTTCCTCTGACAGCAGTTGTGGACACTGACACTTTCCTTCTGCGGAAAAAGCTTTGCTAAGCCAAAATCTGATACCTGAGGATTGAAGTCCTTGTCTAACAAGATATTTTGTGGCTTGATATCAAAATGCAAGATTCTTTGGTCACATCTCTGGTGAAGATACTCAATTCCCTTGGGCACACGAACGGTAATATCTTGAAGCTTTCCCCAACTAAGCATCGGCCTCTTTGAATTGGCTGGAAAAATGAATTTATCTAGCGACTTGTTTGGCATGAACTCGTAGACGAGCTCAGTCTCCAATCCATCTGCACAATAACCCAACAATCGAACCACATGGACATGACGAATCCGCCCAATTGTGTTGACTTCATTAGTGAAATCTTCTCCATTGCCTTTGGAGTTGTCGAGTACTTTCA